TATGGAACAGAAGAAGGCGGTGGTCACGGAGGGCAAAAAAACTCTCAGTAGGTGGGAGCTCCAGCAAGAGTTGGAGTTTTAGAATTTGGGGTATGGACGGGGGAGGGGTGAGAGGTGAAGGAAGGGGGGCAGATGGTGTCAGATGAGAAGGAGCACGTGGGGACCCTCGGGACTTACATCAGCAAAGACGCCCGGATGGACCCCAGGTCTTGTCAGGAAGCCGCATGATCTGGCGGCCACAGCCAGGCCCGGTGACAGCTAGACTGAACCGCGGGGCGTGCAGTTTGGAGGGAGACGCAAGGGGCTTTGCAGCCAAACAGGACTGGCCAAGAGCCCTCCCCCCACGTGACGGCTGTGTGACTTGGGGGAATGATCAGTCAGGTTCGAGTCAGAGAAGTAGAGGGACCACGTGGGGTGTGGCGTGTGTGGGGGACTGTTTTTCCAGTGTCTGGGGCCGGAGGCCGCGGCTCTGAGTGCAAGTGGTCAGGAAGAGAAGGCGGGACGCACCAAGGACACGCCGGAGGCTCAGGCTGGGCTGGGACCCCCGCAGTCCGTCTCTCACCGGCTCCAGGCCTCCAGCGTGGAGGACAGCACAGGTGTCCCGCAGGAAAAGCTGGCGCCCTTTGTCATGCAGGAGGCGGGGAGGCTGTAGCAGACGGTCCAGCTGCTGCTGGACCAGCCTTGAGCTTGGCCGTGGCCCCAGCCACCCAGGATGCCCGCAGATAAGCCACAATGCTATGAATTGCAGCGACGCCTCCCACGAGTGAAGGAATATGGCTGAACCTTCCAAACCTTGTACAAAAACACCCTTCTCTTCCCCGTGCTAACTGGAAACTGTGCAGGAAGGGGAATTTGAGGAAAGGCAGTTATACCTTAGCTAAACTGACACCATGCAAATGCACCACAGGGCAAGTTACTTAATTCCCTGGGCCTCAGTCTCCTCATCTGTGAAATGGGAGTCATCGCCCCTTTAACTGGGAGGACTGAGTGAGACAAGACATGGATAGCCCCCTGGCCATCAACCACGTTGACTTCTTTCTGTCACCCCTCAGCTACCCTCCTGAGGGAGACAAGGGGAGCACCTCCAGATTATTAGCATAAGGAAAACGTTTCGGGAAGATTAGCTGGTTAGAAGGTAGCAAACTAATGGAAAGGGAAGGAGGAATTTGGGTTTTGTAAGGCTGAAGTTTATATAAGATGATCAATTATTACCTTATTTGTATTTGCACCTTTATATTTATTTATATAATGATTTGTATATTAATATTTATATAGCAATCACTATATTAATTGTATATTGTGTATTAAAGAATACACAGCTGAGAATATAAAATTAGATACAAAAGTACTTACTTACAATGAAAAAATAAATCACAGGTTATGGATTTCTTAAAGCTGCCAGATACCACGAACATTGCAAAATGCAGAGAAATAAAATGCTTTGTATTAATTAACTACCTGACTCTCTCTTACCCTTTTACATACATTTTTGACTGTGTAATCTTTGCCTATACACATGCCAACCTTTTGTAACATGCTCTATATAAAGACCAGAAAGTCTTTCTTCTAGAATGATTTCTCAAAGTGTTTATTACTGACAGTTCAGAAGTTTCTTTTTTTCTAAGTTTATTTATTTTGAGAGAGAGAGGGAGAGTGTGCTTGCTTGAGGGGCAGAGAGAGAGGGAGAGAAAGAATCCCAAACAGGCTCTCCACCGTCAGCACAGAGCCTGACTCGGGGCTCAATCCCATGAACCATCAGCTCACTCGCTGAGCGGAAATTGTAACCGACTGAGCCACCCAGGCGCCCTAGAAGCGATTCTTTGGATTTGACTATTTGTTGTTGATACATATGATCAATATACTTTTCAAAAAAAAAAAAAGGCCACAGCCTCGCCACCACCTCCCTACTTGAGAAGTACGTTAAAGCAGAAGTCAAAGAGGGAGGAGACAGAGGTCATAACCATTGTGGTTAAAATGTCTTACTTTGCAGACTTCAGAGAAGCGTATGACCACGTGAACACAGTGCTGGCAGCCCTTTCCATGACCATGGAGGATAGTTGTGCAAGGGAAGGAGGGCCCCTGCGGGTTAGGCTTTTGTTCATTTCACTGTAAAAATCTCTCCAAAAGGGAGAAGCTGCCAAAAGGAACCCACGTACGTGTTATGTGCAATAACCAAGGAACTGCATGACACCGTGGGGGCCATCCCTGGAGCTGGACAAAGGGCGGCGGATGTGGAAAGGTTCTTCTTTCACAAGAACGCCAGCATGATTGGCTTCATGTTCTCTCAGGTGGGAGATCTCTGTGGAAGCCAGTCATCTGGCAATGACCCCAAAAGTAAAAGTCTTCCAGCCAGGAGGAACAGGAAACGGGAAACGCCACCCACTGAGAACCGGCCTTTGCAAGATGATCTGCTTGACAGTTACTGGCTTGGGGATGCGGTGTGGACTGCCTGCTCAGCAGCAAACTGGGCATGCTCCCTTCAGGACACTGTCAAGGACTTCTGGAAGGAAAATGTAAACCCTCTAGGTTTTTGCAGGAAAGAGCTCTGGCAGGAGATTCTCCAGCTGGGAAGAAACAAGTATTCTCTTGGATGGGGGGCGGGCTTACCATCTCTTCCCCCTTCACCCCCAGTTCCCTGCCCCCAAGACCTTTGTCACTGCCTCTGAAAACGTCTAAAGCCAAGTAGATCCCAAGTGCTCTCTGGCCTGGGCTGAGACCAGTACACATTTGTCCCTTCCTTTAATATGATTTTTCCCCCCTTGGGGCGCCTGGGTGGCTTAGTCGGTTAAGCGTCCGACTTTCGCTTGGGTCATGATCTCACGGTTCATGGGTTCGAGCCCCGCGTCGGGCTCTGTGCTGACTGCCAGCTCAGAGCCTGGAGGCTGTTTCAGTCTGTGACTTCCTCTCTCTCTGACCCTCCCCTGCTCACACACTCTCTCTCTCTCTCTCTCCCCCCCCTAGAAATAAATAAAACATTTAAAAAAATATGATTTCCCCCCCTTGATTATAAAAGTAAAATATCCCCTTTGGGGGGGAAATTATAGAAAAAGAAAGCTGTTACCATTCATAATCCTTGTATCTACTTTATGTTAGTAGTTTTGCATAGTTCCTCCAACCATTTTCTTTTAAGTTTATTTGTTTTGAGAGAGAGCGAGCACACATGCACACGCATGCAGTAGAAGGGCAGAGAGAGAGAATCCCAAGCAGACTCCTCGCTGAGGCAGAGAGCCGGACCGGGGGCTCTATCAAGAGAACTGTGAGATCACGACCTGAGCTGAAATTAAGAGTTGGAGTCAGTTAACAGACTGAGCCTCCCAGGGCCCCTTGGATCATTTTCAACACATCAGTCGGGCAAGGATTCTGATTTACAGTCTGCTTTTTTCAGTTAACATAGAAACAAGTCTCTGTGCCTTGAGAAACTCACTCAAAGCATCATTCAGATAACTGCTAGATATTTTCTCACGGATTTTCACAAGAGTGACCAATTTCAAGAGTTCTACAAAAAAGGAAATAAAATGCAAGAAATCGAGGGCTCCCTGCTGGCTGTGTCACTGGGGCGTAGGACCCTTAATTTCGGGGTTGTTAAATTCTAGCCCCATGTTGGGTGCAGAGATTACTTTAAAAAAATTTTTTTTTAATTTTTTTTTAATGTTTGTTTTTTGAGAGAGACAGACAGAGCACGAGCAAGGGAGGGACAGAGAGAGAGGGAGATACAGAATCTGAAGCAGGTTCCAGGCTCCGAGCTGTCAGCACAGAGCCCGATGCAGAGCCAGAACCCACAAGCAGTGAGATCATGACCTGAGCAGAAGTTGGACGCTTAACCAACTGAGCCACCCAGGCGCCGAAGAAATGATTTTTTTCGTAAAGTAAATGAAATCAAATGTAGGAAGTCCAAAAGTAAAGCCCTATGTTGCCAGGCACTATGCTGCCAAGGAGGCCAGCAAACTCCCAACGGGCCTTGATGATGCAGTTCTTCAATTCTTGACGTCCCCCACTCATTCCACTCTTTGCCCCTTTCCTTCCATGCTCAGCTGGGTTTGTGACTCACCTTGGGAGCACCGAGAAGACCCAGACCCCTCCAGCTGCAGGACCAAGCCCGGCTGAGGCTGGGGAGCAGGCCCCCCCCCCCACGCCCCGCCTTTGCACTCCCAGCTGGTTACTTCCTCATACACTCGCCAGCCCAGACCGGGGCCAGACCCAGGCGCCTTCCGCGTGCTCTGGGCCCAGTGTCCCCCAGAACCCCACACTCTCCTTCACCCAGGCCCTTTCTAACCACCACAGCCTTCAACCCGTTTTCAAAAAAGGGCTGAAAACCTAGTGTGTGTTGAGAGGCTCAGAAAGCAGCGTTGACACTAAAGGGGGGAATCGCGTGCCCCCACGTATGTGGGAGCAGCACGAGAGGAGAGAGTGGGCAGGGGGGCCGGGGGCACTGGTGGGGGGCGGGGTGGGGGAGGGTGGAGGAGGAGAGAATGGGCAGGGGGTGGGGGGCACTGGTGGGGGCGGGGGTGAGGGAGGGTAGAGGAGGAGAGAATGGGCAGGCGGACGGGGGG